ATATATAATATCTCGCTTTTCCTCCTCCTCCGTATTTTTATCATATATGATATCTCGCTTTTGCTCCTCCTCCGTATTTTTATCATATATAATATCTCGCTTTTCCTCCTCCTCCGTATTGTTATCATATATATAATATCTCGCTTTTCCTCCTCCTCCGTATTTTTATCATTTATAATATATCGCTTTTCCTCCTCCTCCGTATTTGTATCATATATAATATCTCGCTTTTCCTCCTCCTCCGTATTTTTATCATATATGATATCTCGCTTTTGCTCCTCCTCCGTATTTTTATCATATATAATATCTCGCTTTTCCTCCTCCTCCGTATTGTTATCATATATATAATATCTCGCTTTTCCTCCTCCTCCGTATTTTTATCATTTATAATATATCGCTTTTCCTCCTCCTCCGTATTTGTATCATATATAATATCTCGCTTTTCCTCCTCCTCCGTATTTTTATCATATATAATATCTCGCTTTTCCTCCTCCTCCGTATTTTTTTCATATATAATATATTGCTTTTCCTCCTCCTCCGTATTGTTATCATATATAATATATCGCTTTTCCTCCTCCGTATGCGATGCGGACATTACATGACCACATTTACTTTATGATACAGACTATTCATTATAGATATATCAATACACAGAATGTAATTGATTTCAAATTTGTTTGAGGGTTTACACCATCGACGATACGTTTATATATAAAGCCAAGGACCGTAATAAATAAACGCATTATTGACTGTACTTTTTTAAAAACAAAGAAAAAACACACATATATCCCTCAAGGAATATTGCTGTTAGGTCATTATAATTGCGCTCTTGTCTTTACATCATTCAGTGTTTTCATTTTTGTGGATCAAATGCGAGAAATGATAGACCTTGTAATTACCAGGACACATTTGTGACCAGGTTATGGAGTTATACTGGGATCAATTATACTGCCCGCCTATCCATCCACCCGTCCGTCTGTGACTCAATATTGGTGTTGGGGGTTAGGGGGGATGTGTTGCGGCCAAATATGGGAAATTTTAGACAAATCTTTCAATCCTTTCTGTACGATTAGAGGAGTTTTAACCACATTTGCTTTAGAGCACCTTTGGCCAGAGGGACTCAGTTAAACAGATAATGTGGCCGCTTCAGGGACTGACGGATGCGCCCATAAATCAGAGATAAGGAAAAGTCTTTAAAATACTTTATCTTTAGTAAGGATTAATTGATTGTGCAAAGGGGAGTCAATTTGGTGTTGTAATAGCAATGCTAGTAACCAGCCCATGCGCAATGCGTCGTAGGGAAACGGGGTATTGAAAACACTTGAGATCCCCATTATATTACCAGATATTCACACTTTGGACATTGTGAGACAAATACAAATGAACATCCATGCTGCCAGGATTGTCCCTTCCGTTGGTCTGTCCCTATCCAAGAAGACTAAGCATAGCGCTCATAACGTGGAAACAGATTTGGTTCCCATCCTTTGACCATGTATATATGTACCAATGCTTGACATGAAGAAATGAATATGTCACTAAGATTAGCCCTGGGTTAAGCCCTGCCCAGGAAATTTGCTGGACATAAGAACAATTATGTTGTCAGGGGATTCTGACATAGGGAAGGTTGTTCCCCCACCCTTATACATATATACAAAGGGATCATTTGGCCTCTAGGGACAAAATTAGGTCTTTACCTGAAAACAATTGTAGCGTAACAATAACATCAGAATTGTATCGATCGCGATGGTATACTTATGTATCTATGACTATATAAATCGAACGATTTCGCAAGGTATCATAACCAAACGGTATCGTTCTTATTTGGATTACAGTGATGTAGGTAAACACAAGAAAAATGATATTTGTAAACGAATGCATTTTCCATCAAACAATGCTGTCTAGGTGAACTTAACACATACCACAGAAGCAATGTCGCTTGAAATATGTTCTCACTTTTCACAATTTTAATACAGATCCAGCGACAACAGCGTCAATAACGCCTTTTTTGAAGAGCTGAAGCAAGACTACCAATGCGAGAAAAACGTATTGTTGAAAAGGTTGTTAAAACATCAAAATTTTGAAAATGTATGCCTCTTAGTGTATGTCTGCCTGTGTATGTCTGTATATGTCTGTCTTGTGAATGTCTGTATATGTCTGTCTTGTATATGTCTGTCTTGTGTATGTCTGTCTTGTGTATGTCTGTCTTGTGTATGCCTGTCTTGTGTATGCCTGTCTTGTGTATG